TACCATGATATCAATGCCAGCTGGCCAGCAGAGTCATAATAAACCTAAGTGTCCCATGAATTTTGTTGTCCATAAACACAGACCTAGGACCAGCATCTAAAGGCAGCTTTCTACTCCTTCCAAATCCTGACTGCTGAGCAAAATAATTAGGGGCTTTCCTGCAAAAAAGCCTCCCTGCCTTGCCTCCTCCAAAATAAAAATATATAATTTGATGGAGGTAACCACTCTAACAAACTTAGTAAACTCTGTGATCCATACCTCCCAGAGAGACAACTGGTTCCTGACCTTTGGGATCAGGTCATAGTGACATTATCAGCATTAGTGATCAGTGGGGTCAGAAAGGGAAATGCATCAGAACAGCACTATCATGTGTCTGACTGTGGGATTCTGTCAATCTTTCATTCTTGTGGGACTTTCCCCATCTCATTGAACTTTGAGGTTCAATGAATTGTCATATCTGTCTGATCTTATCTTTCAGGGAATTTGTGACTGCTGTCACTCACCGGAGACTATTAAGAAGGTCTGTGAAGAGTAGGCTAGCTTCCATGGCCTTCACAGATAAAGTCAGGCAGTCTATTCTACCGTGTTCAACAGCACAAAGCAGATGTTAAACCATATTTACGATGACCCTACTAAACATTCCTAAGAGTAAAAATGAATTATGGTGGGCCCATGATGTTTACATTTTTATTTTAGTATCGATAGTTCAAAGAATGAGGTTCAATGAACCACAGAATGGAGTAGGTCTTGAACAGAGGTGGGAAACTGGCCCCCCTTCTGTAGGTCTGCAGACAGATTTGACAAAAAATGTAATAATATACAGTCCCAGTCAAAGGTTTGGACACACCTACTCATTCAAGGGTTTTTCTTTATTTTTACTATTTTCTACATTGTAGAATAATAGTGAAGACATCAAAACTATGAAATAACACATATGGAATCATGTAGTAACCAATAAAGTGTTAAACAAATCAAAATATATTTCAAATAGCCACCCTTTGCCTTGATGACAGCTTTGCACACTCTTGGCATTCTGTCAACCAGCTTCACCTGGAATGCTTTTCCAACAGTCTTGAAGCAGTTCCCACTTATGCTGACCACTTGTTGGCTGCTTTTCCTTCACTCTGCGGTCCAACTCATCCCAAACCATCTCAATTGGGTTGAGGTCGGGTGATTGTGGAGGCCAGGTCATCTGATGCAGCACTCCATCACTCTCCTTCTTAGTCAAATAGCCCTTACACAGCCTGGAGGTGTGTTGGGTCATTGTCCTGTTGAAAAACAAATGATTGTACCACTAAGTGCAAACCAGATGGGATGGCGTATCGCTGCAGAATGCTGTGGTAGCCATGCTGGTTAAGTGTGCCTTGAATTCTAAATAAATCACTGACAGTGTCACCAGCAAAGCACCCCCACACCATAACACCTCCTCCTCCATGCTTCACGGTGGGAACCACACATGCGGAGATCATCCGTTCACAAAGACACGGCGGTTGGAACCAAAAATCTCAAATTTGGACTCATCAGACCAAAAGACAGATTTCCACCGGTCTAATGTCCATTGCTTGTGTTTCTTGGCCCAAACAAGTCTCTTCTTCTTATTGGTGTCTTATTTAGTAGTCGTTTCTTTACAGCAATTCGACCATGAAGGCCTGATTCATGCAGTCTCCTCTGAACAGTTGATGTTGAGATGTGTCTTTTACTTGAACTCTGTGAAGCATTTATTTGGGCTGCAATCTGAGGTGCAGTTATTCTCCTCTGAACTTATCCTCTGCAGCAGAGGTAACTCTGGGTCTTCCTTTCCTCTGGCGGTCCTCATGAGAGCCAGTTTCATCATAGCACTTGATGGTTTTTGCGACTGCACTTGAAGAAACTTTCAAAGTTCTTGAAATTTTCCGGATTGACTGACCTTCATGTCTTAAAGTAATGATGGACTGTTGTTTCTCTTTGCTTATTTGAGCTGTTCTTGCCATAATATGGACTTGGTGTTTTACCAAATAGGGATATCTTCTGTATACCAACCCTACCTTGTCACAACACGACTGATTGGCTCAAACACATTAAGAAGGAAAGAAATTCCACAAATTAACAAGGCACACCTGTTTATTGAAATGCATTCCAGGTGACTACCTCATGAAGCTAGTTGAGAGAATGCCAAGAGTGTGCAAAGCTGTCATCAAGGCAAAGGGTGGCTACTTGGAAGAATCTCAATAAAAATGGATCTAAGATTGACATTTTTACATCCATTTTTATATAATGGTTTTAGGCTAGGATGGAATTAGGGTAGGATAAGCTGATCCTTCATCTGTAGTTGAGAGCTTGGGGTTACATCTAAACTCTAGTAATTGAGGAGGTTTGCAGAATGTTTCTTTGTTTGAACAAATTAGAAATGCATTAACCAGTGTTGCAATCAGTAATCCTTCTGTTTATTTCAGGAAAATGGGAGTCAACCTGGCTGGAAAATGCTGCATAGTCAGAAGTTTGGCCCATCTGAGAAATGTGACTAAAACATGTGCTTAGAGCAGGTGAGCTATTCAATATTATGAACTGGGTGGTTCGAGCCCTGAATGCTGATTGGCTGATAGCCGTGGTATATGACAAAACAGTTATTTTTACTGCTCTAATTACGTTGGTAACCAGCTTATAATAGCAATAAGGCACCTCTGGGGTTTGTGGTATATGGCCAATATACCACGACTAAGGGCTGTGTCCAGGCACTCCGCGTCGTGTTGTCCATAAGAACAGCCCTTAGCCGTGGTATATTGGCCATATACCACACCCCCTTGGGCCTTTTGCTTAAATGTAAAACTGTTTCCCCAAATGGTGGGTGGTGTCTAAAGACTGATAGCCAGTGTGTGCTGCATGTGTTGTGTATGTGATAGCAAACAATCAAAACAGTGACCTTCACGACAGAGCAATGAAAAGAGAGATTAAAACAGTCCGCTGTTAAATGGAAATGTTATAAACAGAGAGCCCATTGTTTCTTATCATTAGATATTGTTTTGCTAAACATTCTGGAATGTCCTCACCCTTTACTAGCCGAAGGTATGTTTGCCCTTGCCAAATTGAATAAACAAAATAGCAACCATGTTTCCCCATTCCAGAGAGGTACATAATAATATGCCATTTAGCAGACGCTTTTATCCAAAGCGACTTACAGTCATGTGTGCATACATTTTTGTGTATGGGTGGTCCCGGGGATCGAACCCACTACCATGGCGTTACAACCACTGTGCTCTACCAGTACATCACATAACAAGATCACCAACTTTAGTCAACATTCAAATAGCTTAGTTTCCAGGATGTCACTAAGCCACCTTTGTCATATGTAGGCTACATTATAGATACAATTCATAACCTGCTTTTATACATGTGAAATGGGGGTATAACAAACACTGGAGATATTTTGCACACCATCACTATTAGGGACTGGTGTGTATGAGTCTATTGTCAGGGTAGGCCAATAGTCTTTCAACAAATCACCTCAGTAAGTCATAATTTCATGTGTTCTTTAATTTTGCTGTTCAGACTCATCTATTTTTATGAGAACACCGTCCAACAGTAAAGACTTGGTCACTATTTTCTAAATCAGCTTCCCTAGAGACAATGACTGACTGCCATCACCTACTGGTAGAATTTTACAATGCACAAAACAGATAAGCATTTCACTGCCTCCTTTCATGTGTCAGAGTCCTTAGTGACAGTATAGGCTTTGAATTACTTTGCCAGCAGCTACAGTAGCCTACACACCGCTGTCTGAGTTGAGCGCTGCTGTGCATTAGACTATTTAATTCCCTTCATCTGAACAGGCGTGTCATCAACAATCATGCATGTCAGTCAGTGCACAGAGCATTACAGAAAATTCTATATTTTAGAATAATTTCGTAGAACAGACATGCGTCTGTATTAGGCTATAGCCCTATTCGCACGGGACTAGTATTACTATAGCATTTCGGTTATATAATTATGACCCAAGCATGTCCAGTGGATTCGGACAGGATTAGTTTTACCAAACTGCGCCCATTTTCCCCCCTCATTCAAAATTGACTGTTATGACAGAAGCCTGGAGGCTCTTCTAGGCGTGAAGATATTTCAAACGTCTAGGGAGCGCGTAGCATTCGCCCTCAGTTCGGAGAAAGTCAAAATAATGCATATAAGAACCATGAACTGTAACCTATGCAGACATTTAAATGACAGTATTTATCAATTCATTGGCACAATATCGTCCATTTTATCTTTTAAAAGAGAAGTATGACACTAGGAAAGTTGATGTGACAAAACAGATAATCTGTAGGCTACGTGAATAGTACTGTTTTAAGCATCAATGTGTTACCATGTTCTTACCCAAACTGAGTGCTGCCTGCACCCAAAACGCAGGGATGACGATTCGCACGGGGGAAGTATTAGAGGACCTGGGAGTTTGCCGAAAAACTGGTTTAGGGCTGGGATAACCTTCCTGCAAGTAAAAAATTAGATCCGGACGGGACAAAAATTACAGTTGTGATTTGTGGACATAATTATCTAAACTCCCCTAGTAAAACGTATCCATTCCGAATAGTGTTAAATATGTAATCTCAAAACCAGCCCCCCACCGGGGAGTTTTTTATTTTATTGCGTATCTACACTGATCTCAAAAACTACCCCTCCAGAATCAAAATGACAGAAATCCGTCGCCGTGAACAATTATCTTCTGGCAGAGTTGTAGAGTATATGGTTACAATGGTCAATAACAGTTCCAACTACCTTTAACTCAGCCCTACGTAACACAACTCAGCCCAGGCAGAGGGGGTGGTAAAATGAAGCATATAAACCTTTATTGAACAGCTTTTTGAAAAAATATTTACAAAGGGAATATACAGCAAAAGACATGCTGTTCAAGGAATTCAAGTATGCAACCATGGGGGGGGGGGGGGGAACTCAAAGAAACTAGTTTCATGGGAGGGAGGAGAAGAGGGGAAAGGGGGCTAGACAGTGAACAGAAGAACAGCCATGCACCACCTTGAAAATACATGTCTGACAAGTGATTATATGGGTGGGAGAGAAATAAAATCAAGATTTCATATGATCCATGGTGTACATTTTCAACTGTAACTATTTATCGTTTGAGGAACTAGTCCCTGACAGTTTTGGATGAGGAATAGGTCCATGAAAAGCGACAAATCGCCCATCCCATTATTTCTACATCCTACCCATTTCTCTGCATCCTCCTCAGTCCCTTTCCCAGTAAACAATGTTGTCCTATCACTAAAGTATGTACTAAAGCACAGGCTTCCACCCGACTGCTCTGCACTAACACTATGGCTAAACATATTGTAAATGTCAAAAAAGTACATGGGGCGAGAGGAGACATGGAGAACAGTCCTGAGAGGCAGGATCAGGGACAGGATAGAGGTCAAAGGTCAGGGGGGCACACAGGGGACATCAGCTGGGTGAGGAAGGGGTGCTATTGCGCCTCATCCTCAGGACAGGAGTGCCAGGTCAGCCTCTCCTCATAGAAGGAGATGACCACCTGAGGGCAGCGGGTGTTGGCCTCGCGGGCCGGGACCAGGTCCGCCTCGTCTGAGTCTTTCCTGTAGAGCCAAGGGACAACAGTGGTTGGTGTTTACTAGTGGCTATTGATCAGAATAATAAGGTTGACCTAGTTAGCTAGTAGCACTATTCAGGATAATGAAGTTCAGATGCACATTATAAAAATAGAGAATGTGAAGTTCCCGAAGGCACAGTCATTTTAGGAGGTGAATATCATGCTATCAGGGAAGATAAATTACATGAGGAATGGCTCTTGGGCTGTGCAACACTGAAAAGAGGTGATATTTAAGAAGAACATCACAGGAGGTTGTGTTTTGCAATTTGAGACTCACCACTTCATCAAGAACATAAGTTCTCCACTGCTGTCGGTTGCACCAATGATCCTCTCTGGGTCCAGGCTCCTGGCAAAGCCCCGTGGCTTGTCACTCTGAAACACACAGTACAGAAATAAATCACAGCTTCCATGCAAACCATCTGGCATATCAAAACATATGGATACAATAACCATCGCACACAGACTAGCCTATACACAAAGTCATTAGGCCTACACAACACAGTCATCCTACAATGATTTGAAACACTCACCACATCCTTCTTCTTCTTGGCTTTGCTTTCCTCTGTCTCTGGCTCATCTGTTGAGGACTTCCTCTTGTTGGAGTCAGGCTTCTCCACCACGTTCTTCTGGGCTTCCAGGAAGGCTGAAATCAGCTCAGGACAATCCAGGTTATCCTCTGGCTCCCAAGTGTTATCCGCTCTGAAAGGAAAGAGAATAGTCAGTGGATATTTATTCTACAAAAACCATCAGCATGTTGGTAAGAAGATCTACACATGCTCTAGAAATGCAGCAACCTATTTATTAAAATTTTACAAGCGAGCCATACCTGTAACTAAAATGGCAGTCTGAAATTCAATTCACAACTCAGATTATTTCAACTAGCTAGGTTCTGCAGGATAAGCATGCCACACAAGTACAACCCCATACCAAGGAAGTACTTCCAGGCCAGCGTCCCTGGAACTGTGCACTCACTCTGTAAATCCTTTCCACTTGAGGAAAAATTCCACCTTCCCGTTGACGATGCGCTGGTCCATCACCTTCTCCACAACATACTCCTCTGGCGGCTCTGCCTCCAGCACCTCCTTCTTCCCTTTGCCATTCTGCTTTTTACCCATGTTAGGCTGCAAAGCAAGAGGGGAGGAGGTTTTCATCTTTTTAAAGAGACGAATTTGGGTTTTAATAACATGAGACCACCTGACACAATGTTTATACAGGTTATTTTCCAGACCAGGGTTTCCCAAACTCGTTCCTGCCCTGTCCCCCCCCCCCATGCTTTGGTTTTTTTTCCCTAGCACTACACAGCTGGTTCAAATCAAAGCTTGATGAGTTGGTTATTTGAGTCAGCTGTGTAGTGCTGGGGCAAAACACAAAATGTGCACTCAGGGGGGCCCCCCAGGACTGAGTTTGGGAAACACTGGTCCAGCATATCAATACAATATCAAATATATTTTTGGAAGTGATAATTTGGTGACATGTAAAGTTTGCTGTACACCCACAATAACTGTCCAGTGGAAATCTCACTTAAAATGTCATTCTGTTAACTCATACCCAAATGTGGTTGACTCATCCTATACTCATATTCAGGGTCACAACTTTCACTGGGGAAGGGGAAAGTTGTGTCCCTGAATACAAGTATAGGAGGAGTCAACAACACTTGGGTATGAGTTAACCTCGGGTAGGCTGTTTTAAATATATATCTATATCCCCGCACTTCTAAAACCAAAGTGTCTCCCCTGCTCGTATATGTGGCCAAAGCATAAAGTGGAGAAAAACTCTATATCAGTCTTGTGTCTCAAACAGACGTTTAATAAATGCTTGCCATTTCCCTAGAGGATGTCATTATCCTCCTGAGGAAGCTGAGGTGGCCAATCAGCAGTGTACTTGCCCCCACCATTGTTGTTGGGGTAATCCCAAACCATTTCAACACAGAAAAGCTGCTTTTAAACATGGCTACTTAATTACCATTTTTTGGCAAGAAAACTATTTCACTCGTACCATAATTAATTACAGGTCATATTTCATAGAAATCTGGAAACACTGGACAGTTACTTTAAAGCTAAAAGTAGTGATACCTCTGTCCCAAATATAGTATTTCCCATCGTTTTCTGTTATTATCCTTATCTAGCTATGAACACGTTTCTGCTCTTCTAGTCGTTAGTTGCCAAGCAACATTAGATCATTCGATCAAAGTGGAGGGAATCACACAGAGCTCGCGCGCCTTACACTACATCCTCACACAGACAATGCTATCAAATTAACTGTTAGCTAAACAAAAAAAGGCACACAGGTTGTCATGTTATTCTCGGTAACGTTTGCTAGCCATTTTGTATTAGAGCAGTTTATGTGCACAGAATCTAACGTTATGCACAATCCGGTGAGCCCCCTCCCCCAAAGCCATGATCTAACGTTAGCCATTTTTATAAGGCCTAGGCTAACCTAATGCCTGTATTGATTTCACTAGCTAGCAAAGTTAAGTAGTTACTGAATTTCATATAGATGTTGAACTAACGTTAGCAAGCATAAGCTATCTAAACCAGACTGTAGCTATATCGTTGACTAAACCACTCTTAATCGTATTATGATGCCTAATCACTTTACCCTGCCTTCACTTACATATCTACCTCAAAAACCTCGTACCTCTGACTGCACATTAATCTGGTACTCCCGGTATATACAGTATCGTTAGCTTCATAATTGTATTTTATTCCTCGTGTTACTGTTTTATTATTTTCAGATTTTGCATCGTTGGGAAGGGCTCGTAAGCAAGCATTTCACGGTAGTCTGCACCGGCGCATGTGACCAAATTTGATTTGATTTTAAACAACCGGCGGGAGCTTAGCCAACTAACTAGTGTGCAACCTGTGTGCCAACATTAGCTAGCTAACTAAACGTTATTTTTTGTATACAATTATTGTGGTGGTAGCTTGCTAGTGAAGTGGAATTCAACAATCTTCGCTAGAAAGCTTTCAGGGGCTTACCAGACGTTTGTTTGAACACAAAGGCCGGACAAATTGTGATTGCAAGGCCTAAAACCTGCAAACTGAACATAGCTACACTATCTAGTTGATTGGGAAGTGAGAATCAGATCTTATTTTCCTAAAATGGCAGCGAGCTATCAAGCGCAGTTACATAAGATTCCTAGCTAGCACAATGGAATCACTTTGTCAGTGTAGCTAGCTAGCAAAACTGTAGCAAGTTTGCTACCGGTGGCTAGCATGACCGCGCGCTATAACAAAATAATAAAGACGACACAAATATGCACAACAACAATTATCAGTTTACAGCCTATACTTTGCATAATAATTTGACGTTGGACATTGAGGGACTCACCTTCCAAATCAAGAACACGCTGATGCAGAATGTACGACGGAAAAGGAACAAGCGTCTTCGTTCTCACCCGCGTGTGGTGCAGAATATATGTTGCTGCTGCGCGCGCGCCAAAAATAAACCTCTGCCTTTTTCTACGGGTGCCGCAAGGGTAACTAACTTCGTAATGTGGTTGTTCAAAGGAAATGTTCATGGATGAATCTAAACCCAAAAAGGAACTTTAAAGCCACATTCAGTAACATGCACCCCCGGAAAACGTAATGAGATGTTACGTAATCGTCTTAACTTTATGTCAAATCATCTGTTATTTGCTACATTGTTTGTTTTTATCACATAAGTCACAGTGGCACCTAAGAATGTTAAAACAAAAGTTCCCTTATAGTGGATAGTTTATTTTTAGGTTGTTATTCTCCTCCTAATATTTTTATACCGAAATAGTGATATGTTGGCTAAGGTTTCAGAAAGTCTCTCAATTACTAAGCAAAACCTTGAAGTAATAGTTCTAACAGAGATGTAGGAAATAATGTCATTCGATTTATGTCATTTGGTTCTAACAACAAACTCCTTTCACTCGGTTTCCCTTATCACTCGGTTTAATTTCACCAATTAATTATGGACCTGGGCCTGGTTTCCCAAAAGCATCTTAAAAGAAAACTCCACCCAAAAACTATCTTTTGGCATTTGTTTTATTTCTCCATTGTTGACATAGTCCCAAAATGTTTTACTTGTCAGCAATGAAGTTTTCAAGATACACTACAGTGCATTTGGAAAGTATTCAGACCCCTTGACTTTTTCCACATTTTGTTACCTACCAGCCTTATTCTAAAATGGGTTAAATAGTCCCGTCCCCCCCAATCTACACACACACACACACACACACAATACCCCAAAATGACAAAGCAAAAACAGGTTTTTATAGATTTGTGCAAATTTACAAAAAATACAAAACTGAAATAATACATTTACATAAGTATTCAGACCCTTTACTCAGTACTTTTTTGAAGAACCTTTTGCAGCGATTACAGCCTCAAGTCTTCTTGGGTATGACGCTACAAGGTTGGCACACCTGTATTTGGGGAGTTTCTCCCATTCTTCACTGCAGATCCTCTCAAGCTCTATCAAGTTGGATGGGGAGCATCGCTGCACAGCTATTTTCAGGTCTCTCCAGAGATGTTAGATCCGGTTCAATTCCGGGCTCTGGCTGGGCCACTCAAGGACATTCAGAAACTTGTCCCGAAGCCACTCCTGCGTTGTCTTGGCTGTGTGCTTAGGGTCAGTGTCCTGTTGGAAGGTGAACCTTCACCACAGACTGAGATCAAATCAAATTTTATTTGCCACATGCGCCGAATACAACAACGCCTTACAGTGAAATGCTTGCTTACAACCCATTAACCAACAATGCAGTTTTAAGAAAAATTTGTTAAGTAAAAAAAAAGATAATTAAAAAATAAAAATAACAAATAATTAAAGAGCAGCAGTAAAATCAAATAACAGTAGGGAGACTATATACAGGGGGTACCGGTACAGAGTCAATGTGCGGGGGCACAGGTTAGACGAGGTAATTGAGGTAATATGTACAGTGAGGGAAAAAAGCATTTGATCCCCTGCTGATTTTGTACGTTTGCCCACTGACAAAGACATGATCAATCTATAACTCCACATATTTTCTATGGGATTAAGGTCTGGAGACTGGCTAGGCCACTCCAGGACCTTAATGTGCTTCTTCTTGAGCCACTCCTTTGTTGCCTTGGCCGTGTGTTTTGGGTCATTGTCATGCTGGAATACCAATCCACGACCCATTTTCAATGCCCTGGCTGAGGGAAGGAGGTTCTCACCCAAGATTTGACGGTACATGGCCCCGTCCATCGTCCCTTTGATGCGGTGAAGTTGTCCTGTCCCCTTAGCAGAAAAACACCCCCAAAGCATAATGTTTCCACCTCCATGTTTGACGGTGGGGATGGTGTTCTTGGGGTCATAGGCAGCATTCCTCCTCCTCCAAACACGGCGAGTTGAGTTGATGCCAAAGAGCTCGATTTTGGTCTCATCTGACCACAACACTTTCACCCAGTTCTCCTCTGAATCATTCAGATGTTCATTGGCAAACTTCAGACGGGCCTGTATATGTGCTTTCTTGAGCAGGGGGACCTTGCGGGCCCTGCAGGATTTCAGTCCTTCACAGCGTAGTGTGTTACCAATTGTTTTCTTGGTGACTATGGTCCCAGCTGCCTTGAGATCATTGACAAGATCCTCCCGTGTAGTTCTGGGCTGATTCCTCACTGTTCTCATGATCATTGCAACTCCACAAGGTGAGAACTTGCATGAAGCCCCAGGCCGAGGGAGATTGACAGTTATTTTGTGTTTCTTCCATTTTTGAATAATCGCACCAACTGTTGTCACCTTCTCACCAAGCTGCTTGGCGATGGTCTTGTAGCCCATTCCAGTCTTGTGTAGGTCTACAATCTTGTCCCTGACATCCTTGGAGAGCTATTTGCTCTTGGCCATGGTGGAGAGTTTGGAATCTGATTGATTGATTGCTTCTGTGGACAAGTGTCTTTTATACTGGTAACAAGCTGAGATTAGGAGCACTCCCTTTAAGAGTGTGCTCCTAATCTCAGCTCGTTACCTGTATAAAAGACACCTGGGAGCCAGAAATCTTTCTGATTGAGAGGGGTCAAATACAGTGGGGAAAAAAAGTATTTAGTCAGCCACCAATTGTGCAAGTTCTCCCACTTAAAAAGATGAGAGAGGCCTGTAATTTTCATCATAGGTACACGTCAACTATGACAGACAAAATGAGAAAAAATAATCCAGAAAATCACATTGTAGGATTTTTAATGAATTTATTTGCAAATTATGGTGGAAAATAAGTATTTGGTCAATAACAAAAGTTTCTCAATACTTTGTTATATACCCTTTGTTGGCAATGACACAGGTCAAACGTTTTCTGTAAGTCTTCACAAGGTTTTCACACACTGTTGCTGGTATTTTGGCCCATTCCTCCATGCAGATCTCCTCTAGAGCAGTGATGTTTTGGGGCTGTCGCTGGGCAACACAGACTTTCAACTCCCTCCAAAGATTTTCTATGGGGTTGAGATCTGGAGACTGGCTAGGCCACTCCAGGACCTTGAAATGCTTCTTACGAAGCCACTCCTTCGTTGCCCGGGCGGTGTGTTTGGGATCATTGTCATGCTGGAAGACCCAGCCACGTTTCATCTTCAATGCCCTTGCTGATGGAAGGAGGTTTTCACTCAAAATCTCACGATACATGGCCCCATTCATTCTTTCCTTTACACGGATCAGTCGTCCTGGTCCCTTTGCAGAAAAACAGCCCCAAAGCATGATGTTTCCACCCCCATGCTTCACAGTAGGTATGGTGTTCTTTGGATGCAACTCAGCATTCTTTTTCCTCCAAACACGACGAGTTGAGTTTTTACCAAAAAGTTCTATTTTGGTTTCATCTGACCATATGACATTCTCCCAATCCTCTTCTGGATCATCCAAATGCACTCTAGCAAACTTCAGACGGGCCTGGACATGTACTGGCTTAAGCAGGGGGACACGTCTGGCACTGCAGGATTTGAGTCCCTGGCGGCGTAGTGTGTTACTGATGGTAGGCTTTGTTACTTTGGTCCCAGCTCTCTGCAGGTCATTCACTAGGTCCCCCCGTGTGGTTCTGGGATTTTTGCTCACCGTTCTTGTGATCATTTTGACCCCACGGGGTGAGATCTTGCGTGGAGCCCCAGATCGAGGGAGATTATCAGTGGTCTTGTATGTCTTCCATTTCCTAATAATTGCTCCCACAGTTGATTTCTTCAAACCAAGCTGTTTACCTATTGCAGATTCAGTCTTCCCAGCCTGGTACAGGTCTACAATGTTGTTTCTGGTGTCCTTTGACAGCTCTTTGGTCTTGGCCATAGTGGAGTTTGGAGTGTGACTGTTTGAGGTTGTGGACAGGTGTCTTTTATACTGATAACAAGTTCAAACAGGTGCCATTAATACAGGTAACGAGTGGAGGACAGAGGAGCCTCTTAAAGAAGAAGTTACAGGTCTGTGAGAGCCAGAAATCTTGCTTGTTTGTAGGTGACCAAATACTTATTTTCCACCATAATTTGCAAATAAATTCATAAAAAATCCTACAATGTGATTTTCTTTTCTCAATTTGTCTGTCATAGTTGACGTGTACCTATGATGAAAATTACAGGCCTCTCTCATCTTTCTAAGTGGGAGAACTTGCACAATTGGTGGCTGACTAAATACTTTTTTTCCCCACTGTACTTATTTCCCTCATTTTGACATGCGTTTTTCTGGATTTTTTGGTTGTTATTCTGTCTCTCACTGTTCAAATAAACATACCATTAAAATTATAGACTGATAATTTCTTTGTCAGTGGGCAAACGTACAAAATCAGAAGGGGATCAAATACTTTTTTCCCTCACTGTAGGTGTTCCTCTTGTCCAGGTGGGAAAGGGCAGTGTGGAGTGCAATAGAAATTGCATCATCTGTGGATCTGTTGGGGACGGTATGCTAATTGGAGTGGGTCTAGGGTTTCTGGGATAATGGTGTTGATGTGAGCCATGACCAGCCTTTCAAAGCACTTCATGGCTACAGATGTGAGTGCTATGGGTCGGTAGTCATTTAGGAAAGCTTACCTTAGTGTTCTTGGGCACAGGGACTATGGTGGTCTGCTTGAAACATGTTGGTATTACAGACTCAGTCAGCGACATGTTGAAAATGTCAGTGAATACACTTGCCAGTTGGTCAGCGCATGCTCGGAGTATGCGTCCTGGTAATCCGTCTGGCCCTGCGGCCTTGTGAATGTTGACCTGCTTAAAAGTCTTACTCACATCGGCTACGGAGAGCGTGATCACATAGTCATCTGGAACAGCTGATGCGCTCATGCATGCTTCAGTGTTGCTTGCCTCAAAGCGAGCATAGAAGTGATTTAGCTCGTCTGGTAGGCTCGTGTCACTTGGCAGCTCGCGGCTGTGCTTCCATTTATAGTCTGTAATAGTTTGCAAGCCCTGCCACATCCAATGAGCGTCGGAGCCGGTGTAGTACGATTC